CTCTCTCTCTCTCTCTCTCTCTTGTATACCACACCGCTTAGTTGAAAACTCTTATCTCGGCAGTTTATATTCAACATGAAAAAAAATAACACAAACTGCACAAAATCCTAAATAGTATGCTAAAAACTAAAGTCCCATATAGACAAATAAAGCAAGTAATGAGGTCCCAAACTGTGAAGGGCTTTAGAGGTAAGTACCAATGAAGGGACGATGTCCCCTTCCAAATGATGCAAATGATGTTAGCAGGCTAGTTTAGAGCAGTGGTCCCCAACCTTGGGCCTCCAGATGTTCTTGGACTTCAACTCCCAGAAGCCTTCACCTCCACCTCTGCTGGCCAGGATTTCTGGAAGTTGTAGTCCAAGAACATCTGGAGGCCCAAGGTTGGGGACTACTAGTTTAGAGGACTTCAGACAGACTGTATGGTTATCAGAGTGGCTGATGCTTCGGTGATCCTTCCGATAGAACTTGAAAACATAACTTTTTGGACTATAGTGCTGAGAAACCCCTGGAATCCTAGAGGATTCTGGGAGATGTAATCAAAAAAGGATCATTTCCAAGCTATGTCTCTCCATTTGCCATGTGTGGTGGCTGCTACACTCTTCCAGATGGTAGGGTTGGATCTGCCCAGTAGCTGTACACTTACAAGTTCTGTCCACAAGTTCTGTCCAGTTCTCCTCCAGATGTTTTCAAGAGATTTAATGAACCCAAGAAGCTACCAGCCTGACCCTTCCTCCAGGCAGTGATACTCCTTGACATGTCATCTGCCCAGGGTGCTAAAATCAACATTTAAATCTGCTAATTTTCAGCATTATGCGGCTCATGATGACATTCTAGCCTTGGACTCCTCTTATTTTACTGAAGAGTCTCAAATCCTCAATACTGACAAAAGAAAAGATCACTGTGTCAGTACATCATGGTTATACTAAGATTTATGAATCTGTAGAGCTTACATACCTCAAGACGTGAAGAAGGGGGTTTGGATGTCCCATCTGGAGAGAAAAACATGAGACTTGTTTCTTTACAAATGTCAGTGGCTCGTTTGCATAATTATCTATATATCTAAATTGCACAATTTAGTTCAGTCATAGAAAGCGAGGTCACCTGCTCATTGAAAAGGTTTCTGTCATAGTTAAGACTTGATTGTCACAACACAGTGACAGCCTGGGGCTGAGTGTTCATTTCTGCTTTTCATAGAGAAATGGCCCACATTCTCTGTCACAGGGTGAGTCACCTGTCAACCAGGTGGCATGAAAGAAGCCATTGAGATGTGCTTCACTTACTTATCGTATGCTGAAAGAGTCTTAATTCACTACTTTCCATGCCCTCCGAGGCACATAAAACTTTCTCACTCATTGCTTCTGGACTGACAGAGCAGACTCTGAACGTTGCTCATGGAAGATTAAGTGATGAACACCGTTTTGTTACTTTCCAAATTTGTTTTCTGTCTTGACATTTTTTTTTAAAAAAAAAGGAATATACAAAATGTACTTTCTGTACAAGATAGCCTGATGGTACAGAATCCTCAGATATATCCACATAGGATTTCAGCCTTAAACACTAATTCCCAAACAGTATGTTGAGAAGCGATAGAGGTCCATTATTACATACGGTAGATATGTATCTTCTTTTTTCCTGACACATATAGTCATTGCCTGCAATCAAATCAATTTCAGCTTATGGAGACCCTTTTCAGAGTTTTCTAGATATAGAGTATTCAGAGGTGGTACTGTGCAGCTTGCCCAAGGCCAAATTGCCTGTTCTTTTTCTAGGAGACACAGCAGGGAATTGAATTCCCAAAATCTGGAACCAAGTACGTGCAGCCAGCTAGCTAACTAACTGAGCTAACTGGCCAGCAGAAGGGACCTTAAGTCCTCTCATTGCATGGGGAAGTCTGCAATTAACCAAACTGGTAAATTATGGTTATCAACGTTAAGATATCAAAGTAAACTAAAGTCAGTTCTAGCAAACAGGGAACCTCAGAGAACATTTTCAGGTTGTGAAACACATTGTGTTAAATGGGTGGTTCTCATTCAGTTGTTTTGTAAAATATAGAAGTGGAATCTACAAGAAAATGTTGCAGCGTGCGGTACTCATATTTGGGATCCCTCCCTCCCTCCCTCCCTCCCTTTTCTAGGGTATCCCACACCACTCACCCCCTCTGTTTTATCCCTGTCCCAGCAGTTAGTATTCCATGCCCACTTGGTGAGATGTTCTTACACACAGAGACACACACAGACACACACAAACATGCACACACACTTTAGAATTTAACTTCCTAGATGTGTGTGCATTTTTTCAACCTTGGAATTCTCCAAGACCTCTGGTACTTCCCACTAATCCATGAATAATTTGTCTTGGCTATATTTTAGGTGTACAGAAATCCACACTCAAAGACTGTTTCCTATTAGCTTGTAGGAGAATAATGAGTATCAATGCAGTAACAATGCTGAGGGAAGCAGACTATTTTTAAATGCTTAAAAGTGCCTGGTAACCTCTCCTTGCGATGCTTTAGTCTGACAGCATGGTCATTTTGTTTTTGTTTTTGTCTTAAAAACAATCCACTAATCAATCTGAATATACACTCCCAGCAATTTATGTGTTTGCTGTTGTGTACATGCCATGTTTTAAGGAACTGTTTATCTTCTGTCCAGAAACCCACACATTGTTATCTAGTAAGCAAAGAAGAACATTTACAAGTGCAGGAATATGAAACTTCTGTCTGTAGGTCACTCAGATCAAGAACCAGAGTCCGTGCAAAATGTTGCCTTTAAAAACAAAAAGGAATATAGTTGTATGCCTTCTGGAATTAATTGAGCTTGTGAAGCTAAAATGAAGACCTTGTTCATGTTCTGTTCATCTGTGATTTTCTTAAACATTAAAAAATTAATAATAATCAAGCAATCAGGTTGTTGATCACCGTTCATGACCTAGCAAGTAAATATATTACTGAAACTGGACAAATATCCCAAAGTCCACTGGTTAAACCAGGCCTGTGCAGGCAGATGCACACTCTCAAGCCAGTTCATCCACAAATTATCAACCTTGCTTGGCACTGACACCGTGTCTGTTTGACCTCTAAGAAATAGACAACATGTCTGATGCAAGAGCCATGGATAATTGCATAAGGGTCTCCTGAGGTTTTTTAAATGCAGTTGTAAACATGTTTCAAAGAAGTTAATCTTCAGGTACTAGGAAGGGACCTTTTCATATCCCCTGATGGACTTTTTCATGAAAATATAGACTTACAATGGTGCCGTTTTTAAGAGAATGTCATCAGCAACCTAGTATATAATGACTTTGGATTGTAGCCACTGTAGTCACAGTTTTTCTCCAATAAATAAAATATTCCTGCTTTTTAAAAAATCCCAACAAACAATTTTCTAACTTTGCCATGGATTTTGTCCCAATCAATGTGCATACAGGGATGAAAAAAATGCCTCGTGCCGTTTTCCTGCACACCATGATGTAGAAATGCTGAAGTTCTTTGGTTCTGTTGATTGGGAGGCATTGGTCATTTCTTTTATAGTGCTATATGGAGATAGGTGGAGGATAGAGCTCCAGGATATGAGTGAGATTTGTTTTCCTTTCATTTCACTTTTATTACTCCTTTCTGTTCTCCAATAACAGAAGAAGCCCATCAGAAATTGGTAGATGATGGCTGTTGCCTCCTTATGTAGCCCTCACAACCCTTTCAACATTGCCTCTGTAGAGCTGGGAAACCTTCCAGAACAGAGCTAGGAATGCCGGGAGAGGGTTGGGGGAAAAGAGACACAAGGAGAACATCTTGGAGTAGAAGTATGGAAGTTGTACAATATGAAGTGAGGGGAAACCACTTCCTCTGAGATCCACTGATGACTGTCCTCCATCTGCACAGGAATTCATAAAGGATTTTGTTTCCGTGGCTTGGGAAAAACACACTTGATCATTCATTCTACCCTGAAATATACTAGCATTTTTTGTTGACAACAGAAAATCTCCCGTGATGTGCACAATGTTATTAAGAGATAGTCCATATCTGATCACCATGACTCGATTTATTATGAGGGGAAAGCAATCTATTTTATTGCATTTTAGAAGAAAGCTAAAGAAAAATGGAAATATCTATTTCATCCCTCTTTAACACTGGCAGTGAAGCAGAGCTTCAGAAATCTGTACATGACTGGAGCCTGCCGTGCATTTCAGTGGAGAAAAATGTGCCCCAGACCAAATGCATAACTACAAATATATCTGTTTGACATATGTGCTGTGCATAAGCTAATGGAAGAAAGTGTATAATAAAAAAGTGTATATATTAAGAACATCACAAACAAATATGTATAAATTTCCTCAGGGAAATAAAAAGAAAGATGTCTTATGAATCAATACAGAACTGGGAAAGGATGAGAATGTGGTAGCATTCAGAAAAAATGTGGCAGGAGTGAGACTGAAGTAAAATAATCCTTCTGTGGCAGAAACCAAGAGGGTTAGGGCCTAGCAAGCTCCTGTTTAGGAACTAAAATATTCTACTTGGTATGCAGGAAGCAGCTCATCAGAGATACATCTGGGAGAGTGCAGTGGTGCCTCGCTAGATGATAATCCGTTCCACTGAAATCGCTGTCTAGCGAAATCATTATCTAGTGAAAAGCAAATTGTCGTCCAGCAAAAATCGATTTGTGAAGCAGGGACCAAACATTGTCCAGTGAAATTCCACCATAGGAATCACTGTTTTGTGAATCACTATAGCGATCGCAAAAAGTCAATGTCTAGTGAAAAAACTGTCATGTGGGTTAACTATCTAGCGAGGCACCACTGTATTTCAAGGATGTGTAAGATTACATCTGAATGTTGGTTGCTAACTAGAGAAGCCCCTTCTTCAGGGCAAAAACTCTGAGGACAGATTTTTTTCCAAACACTTCTGATTTGATTTTTCTTCCTGGGGCAAAAAGCCCAAAGTGGAGGCAACTCCTGAAGCATCCCAAAGAAGATGGAGCAAGCTCCGTGCCTATGGAATGGTAAGTGTATGGGAGAATGGATGGATAACAGGATGAGGGACATGAAATGGTAAACGAAACAGAACGTTCTAGAAAAGGGCATTTCTGCCTGGAACGTTGAATAGGAGCAACATTTTGAATGGTGCTTATAAGTTAAGAAAGGCATGTTGCTGATGTCTTACGTAGTATTTGCAGTGTGAGGGATAGTGACATCATGCTATTACACTGTGCTGTTTCCATTCTCTTTCAATTGGTACAACATATGCTTTGCACTTCCTTCCTCCCTGGGCCTATGTTGAGTTATTGAGTGTTGACATTCTACTTACTGGATTTGAAGCACTAACCTTTGATGGTCCACCCTGTGCCCGTGCTGAGATCCTAGATGTTGACACTGTATTTACTGGATTCGAACCACTAATCTTCAATGGTGCATTGGCTACCTTTATTTCCCAAACCCACACTTAGCTCATTGCCTGCTAAAACTGACTTCCCATAATATTGTATCAATAAATGATATAATTGGCAAACTCAGCAAGAGGTACATATTTTTAGAATGAACAGACATGCAAACTTATTACTCCATCTGGCTTGCTCTTTTTCAGGACTCCCACACCTTTTTTTAAAAAAAAGATAAATCGGAACAACAAATTGCTGCCTTCTTAAGCCAGAGACCAAAATTTTGTTGCAAATTAGAACTGTGGTTTATGTCCTGATTCACCCACCCATGTTGATCATGGAATAGCTGCAACCCTCTCTTCTTTAGAAAACCCACTGATTAGCACTGATATTCATTTGATCTCGGCACCAAGTTAAAACATGGCAGCTCACCCAAACTGTTAAGGTTTAAGGATCTTGGCTTGAGTAGTTTGTAGTATTTGCTTGTTGTATGTATGGTTTTAAATGATTTAAATTATGTATTTTATGTGTGTTTTTTTTTAAAAGTGTTTGAAATAATTTGATATGTTTTAAGTTGGCAAACTGTTTTATATCATTGTCATGTACCTCTTTGATGAAGTGGA